AATGGTCCGTATTCGAGAAATTTGACAAAATGTGCAAAATTCTGATTTTTATGAAACTTGTTGAAATAAAAGTTGTTTGCGATATCGATCTCTATAATTTTTTTTTATACATGATTTTTTAAAATAGACCGTAATGGAAAAATTGTAGAAAAAGTGCTAAATTTAAATTTTTCAGTATTTTCATTTTCAATGAACATCTATAGAAAAATGTTTCGAGGTAGACGTATGTGGAAAATGTATATATTTATTTTATCCTCTAAACATTTATGGAGGTGCTGCAATAGGTTGTACAAAATAACCGGAAAAAACCTGTAATAACTAGATAGGAAAGTCATGTGTTGGACACATCAGATTTTTAGTTTTATTATTGCTTTCATCCCTTAATATCTCATCATTATTACTTGGTTTTTACTTTTTTTCGTTAATAACAGTTCTTTTCAGAACTTCAGTAAGCAATTGTCTTGAATTTCTACAATTATAGGCCATTCTATACCGAGTATGAGTAGCAAGTTCCTGAAAAGCCATACAAGAGAGACGCCTTATTATTTTGCATGTTGGTTCTGAATAAGATTTTGTAGAAAATGCATTATTGATTTTTGAAGGCAAAAACACGGGAGATTACCATGAAGAAATAAATTCAGAAGTATTTTAGAAAAAAACTATCCTATTTACTGATTTTTTAAACTAAGAGTTGATGAATTTCTTACCAAATGATTAAAATGTAACTAAATATTGAAGTTAACTTTATTTATTAGAAAATTAATCATTTACAAAATGTTAATTAACATTTAAAATACCATCTACTACATTAGAGATAATCCTAATTTAGCATAGAGAGCTAAAAATACTTCTACAACAAATAATTAAAAATATCTACTTAAAATTAATACATAGGTATAACTTTAAATTAAAAAAATACAAAAATTACAACTAGAGTTTAAAGGAACTAAAATATTTAACAGTAATGATATAATGTTGACATGTTTGTAGTGTTATGAATGTTGGTTCTAGTTTTCAAAACACTTCCTGACTCACAATAGGCCTGTAAGCTTTTTAAATGCCTTCATTTTCCTTAGCGTGGCCACTATGGGTTAACACTAAATTCATAGAACAAATTCCAGCCATTGTGTAATCCAGTTGCTTGGAGCATAAAATATATGCTTTAAGTCCAGTTGTATAGGGATTCAAGCCACTAATTAACTTTTACCAAAGACATTTATGTTGTAATGTCTCTGACTTTTACTTAAGTTTATACCTATAACAAATATATCCTTGAAAATGTAAACAGACCATATTTTAATATTTTATACCAAACTGCATCTTGATATTCTGTGAACAATTTTCTTAAATATTTAATCTCTATTTTAAAAAGATCATAGGTATTCTTAAAAAGACGATTTCAAAAGCAAGGAAAAAAATATTTCTGATAAACTACAACGTCAACAAATCAACGGTCATATTGAATTTCATTTGATAGTTCGTTTTAAACACGTTTCAGATCACAATAAAGTGAAATGTACTGCAGTTCTTTGGGATCAATAAAAAATCTCGAGTCCTATGACATTTATTCGCTTTCAACCCCTTATTGGCCGGCGCCGACTATGGCCGATAATGACAACTATTTCTTAGATTTTAAACACACTATATTGTAGAACACGCTCTAAGTAACCAATCTAGTTACTTTTCCCTGTGTAAATGCGTCGTTTCAATTTGCTCCTCCTAGTTTAAAAACAGAGTATAACCAATGACATATATAGATTAATAGACTGCTCATCCATATATAAACAAGACGACGAAAAGCGGGTCATATTGCTTGGCTTGCCGAGTGCTCACCAGGCAGAATCGGTCTGGCCCAAATGAGTTTAAAACACATTTCATCAAAGTAGGAATTGAATTAAAAAAAGAAAAACATATCTGTATGTTTATTTCAAGACAGGAGCTTGCGTTAGGTATTTTAAAAAAAATTTTGAGTCGTAACGTCTAGTTTCCCAATTTTCAAAACATTTTAAGAGATCTAACCAATTTTGAACATAGATATAAACAATTTTACACTCATGTGTATATAACTAACTTTAGACCATGACTACTGTATAGTGGCACTATTCGGACACTTGATTATTCTTTTAAAATTTATTTCGCATAATAAAAGCAGATATTATGCAAAAATTGAAAGAACTTTTTAAAGATTTAAAGTTAGTAGCTTTTTCACATTCTAAAGTTTGTCCCTTTAGACAATTAAGGATTATTTTGGCGGTGAATGTGAATGATTTGATGAATAATAATAAAATTCCACCAGTGGAAATCTGATCAACATCATAGTAAAATGGACTAGGTACAAAGTGCAATCTTAGTTGACGTCAAGATCCGTGTACCTTAGCATCGGTAAGAGGGAAATAAAGATTCTGACTTACAATCACAAAAAGAACGTACAACTAAGCTTAGTCGATGTAAGTTAGCTCAGATTAGTGGTAAAAAGAAAGCGACTATTAATAAAAAGAAAAGTAATCCAGCTAAAACAAGAATTATGGCTACTGTCTTTAATAATGATATGTTGCCAGTACTAGTAGAATGTTAAGTGTTATCTTCTTCAGGCAATGGATGTACGTATGCATAATTTAAAATGTTTCGTTAATTATTATTATTATGTTTAATGTGTTTTTGCAGTTAATGAACATATATCTACTACTGAAGCAGATAATGAAGATTTGTGTGCTGCTGAATAGCTTTGCTTAATTTACAAAACTTTGTTTAAAAGCAGAAAATTGGGATCGATTTTTCAACACAAGTGAAGAGTGGTGATTTAGTTGATCCGTTTTCAAACAGAATTGTTAGTGCTAAAGAACTATCTACTTTAATAGGATTGCAATCCTTCCAGTTATTAGCCACCATTGTGGAATTAGTAGCAGAGTTGTTTCTAAAGAATAGGAAAAAGGAGATCAGTTATGTCTGTAAAGGATCAAGTTATATTTACTTTTATGAAGTTGAAAACTGATATGCAAGATATAATGTCTTATTCATTTTATTTGGAGTGAATGAAACTTTTTATCGTTAAATTTTTTAACAGTTTTTAATAAAACTGGTAGAAGTTCTTAGTATGGTATAATTCGGCCTTCAAAACAAGAAATATTAAATAATGTGCCTCTATGTAAGTAAGAGTACTACTACTTGATTGTACCGAAATCCCAATACAGCAAGCCAAATGTCTTTGTTGTAGGCTAAAAAATTACTCTGACTACAAAAAGAGGCCTACTATTAAAATATTGACTGGAGTGTCACCTACTGGTCTCATTACTTACAAAAGTGAAGCATATGGTGGTAAACTTCAGAAATAGACATTTTTTAACAAAGTTCAATACTTGAAGTGTGTGAATCATTTCTCGATAGTAAAATGTTTAACAAAGGTTTATTGGAAACATAACACAAGCTGAAGGTATACAAATTATACAGCCTCCTTTCCTCAATAAAAAAAATCAGTTCAGCCATCAAGAGGCTTTACTTAATGCCAAAATTGCCAGAGCTAGAATTCACATAGAAAGAACCTATCAAAGAATAAAAGTGTTTGTCTCTCTGTATTGGTACTTATGTCCGTTTTTCTTCTATTTATATTGAGTTTTTATTATACGATACTTCTCTGTATCTAACTAACTTTTAAAATGTACTTACTTGTAAAGCCCAGATAGCTCTAACTCGGGCCTTTGAATATAATAATATTTATGTAATTGTATTTACAATAAATACTTTATTATTATTAATATTATTATTACAATTAATTATAATTCGTAAAATTATTATAAACGTATTTACCTTGTACCTACTTGTATTGATACTTGCGTGAAAAATGAAATGTTACTTTTTATATTTCTGTAGCTGGTCTTACAAACCTTTATAGAGCAATTCACCATTTAAATTTAAAAACAAAACAAGTTTTTATACTCAAATAATTAAAAAACTTAAAACAGAACATAAGTATAATTAAAACTAAATAAAATAAACAATTCAACAAAATGTCCGACTGAGTAATGACAATAAGAACAAAATCTCAACTAGACTAAACTTTCTTTAAAACCGGTCCTGTGAAAGGTTTGTTTACCAGTGAGCACTCAAAATTGAGACAAAACACAAACATTGCATGCACTAGACAAAGAGAAAACATCTCCCAGTTCGACCCACTTTTCATCGTTTTATTTACGTATGGATAAGCAGTCTATTTAAACTATATATGTCATTGAGTATAACAAATATATATGTAATATGAGTTGTCTAACAATCACACTTTAAATTTCCAAATAATAAATTTTTTATTTTCTAAGGACCGTAGCACACCGTAGTATATTGTAACTTGTAAAACCCTACCACTACGACAACCAGATATACACATCTGTATATAAAGTTGCCTACTCTTGGACACCATTCCTAATTCCTATCAGGATAGCTATTCACTAAGTCATGGGAGCGCTCCCATAGGAGTGTTCCCATATATTTTGCTCTCTTACTCTTAGGTGGGTATATCGTGCTTACTCACTTTTAGCACAGGTACATGCATAGTTAGGTCGGAGTAAGCACGATATACCCACTTAAGAGTAAGAGAGCAAAATTATGGGAGCACTCCCATGGGAGCGCTCCCATGACTTAGTGAATAGCTATCCTGATGGCCGATTCTCAGCTTGTAGGAACCTTTTCCTATAGGAATTTCTGACACTTTCCTATTTGTAGGAAATTTCCGATGTATTGAAAAATGTTAAAAATTTCTTTATGAAAAAATTCCTCTGAGTCGAGAATCGACCCTCAGGGGCCGTATTTATTATAACTATTTCGTTGGAATTATATAAATGATGAGAGCAACGTTTTCTTTTTTTTTTTGTTAAATCCTTTTCTTCGTCAATAGTATTGATCAGAAATGCTTTTCATATTTGTTAACCTGACAATATTTTGCTGAGAAGGGAATAGTTTTGTATCTAAAAACTATTTATCCAACTTTCAATTACATTAAAAGAGCAAAGTAAATTTTAAAATATTTTTATTTAATAAAAGCATAATTTCGTGAAAAAAACATAATATTAAGAACGTTTTAACTAATTTAAACTCTTTCTACTTTTGGAATGACGTCATAATAATATCTATTCAACCATCTTCTGATTTCATTGACATGCATTTCTCTTACAATTTTAACAGAGTTCGTATCTTTTTCGTTCTGTCCTCTGAGATCGTAATGATGTGCTCCATCTGGTATAATAATAGCCTTAATATTATTGTTTCTGGTAATTAATACACCGCCACTGGACCATGGGTCCAGTAAACCATTGCTGAATATAATATTACTAGCTGCGTCAATGTCTTTACCCCCGTATTCGAGAATAGGCTCGTTTTGAGCTCTTGGTCTTATATTAAAGTTTTTATAACACTCGTCAGAGTATTTTTGGAAATCCCATGGCTCGTTTTCAAACATGTCGACTTCTGTAGAACACATTGGCATTATCATTTCGGTACATGCCTAAAAAATAAGAAAAGAAGAGCTAAATCATGCTGAAATGATTATAGAAATGACTTTTGTAACAAATTTAATCCAAATCTTTTATTATTTTAAACCAATTGAAATTTCCTAATTTCAAATAATTCATATGAAGAGCAAATATGAAACCCTTATCAAATAAGATTTTAGTCTACATCTTTCATTATTAAATAAAATATTTTTATAAATATACCGCCTATGAAAATACTGTGAAGATTATTTATTTTCTTAAAGTAAAAAACGACACCCTATAAAACCTGTCGTTACTGAACTAATGGATACACCTCTGCCACTCGTTTGCACTGTTCAACCTCTATTTAATCAATAGCATTGCTTATTATGCTTATTATTTATTCTGGCGTCATTGAGGGAAAGTTATAATATAGACAAATTTCTGTTTGGCTAAAATATACTTAGGGGCGATACAAACAAAAAAAAGGCAAGTAATGTTTAGAGTAAAACAGTGCGGCCCTAACCAAAAAGAAGCTTCATTCAGGATACAATGAGGATAATACAGTCCCATGGTTTAATTTATCAAACCCACTCTTATTTAATTATTAATAAAATGTTTTTATTTCCATACGAGAAACCAGTTTTATTAAATATTTTTTCGGGGCCAGATTTGCTTAAATAATTTTTTAACAAAAACCTCAGACCGAGATTTAAAAGCCATAATATTAAATTAATTTTGAATAATTACCTGGAAGTTCCAACCGCGTTCATCCAATTGTGAAGAAGTTTCAGCAATAACGTTGCATTTAACAGATTTTGTATAATTGGTATAAATCTGTAAAGATTCTCCAATAGCTGCCAATAAGCCATACTCATCTTTCCAAGTTAAACTATCTAATTGTGAACAAAATTCAAGTACTGGATAGGCTGGCAAAGCTGTTAAAAAGCTGGTGGGATAGGGATAGTTTACCATAGCCATATTTATGATTATTTCTGAAACCCATTCGACCAAAGTTTTGATATCACCTTCTGTATTTAAAGGGGCACAAAGATTCCATAAGGAAGATAAATTTGCTTTACCTGCAGGCGTCTGTGTAAAACTCCTAAAAGTAATTTATTCACATTTTTTTCTGTGGTGAAATGAAAAATTCCACCACGGATATTGTTCGCGGTGAAATAATTAGGTCAACGCTTAGCCGAAAATTACAACAAAAACTATTTAAATACGTCTATTGTAAACACTAAAATATCCGGAATGTGTAATGGAATGCTGACATCAATCATGGCTTAAAAATTCGGAGGTTACGGGGCAGGAGGAAATGTTTCCAGTTGCTGGAAATTTCATTGTTTTACATACGTATATGACAAATATTCACTTATAATACTACTCGCCCCCAAATTATTTTCGGACATTTTTTCAAACACAAATTTCCAGACAATAATTTACGGACGTGTGGTATTCGGTAAGAAAATTTTATACCGAAATATTAATAGTAATTTACGTTACAAGACCGAAAAGTAGTGTTTTGCAGGTCGAGACAAGCAGATTCCAGACCTGCTTAACACTAATAATTTTCGATCGCGTGACGTACAATATTTTTTAATTCTTTACTCGTTTTCACCCCCAAATTTCAACATGTCTTCCCTACTTGTTGATTTTTTTCTATCCTCATTTGTTTCTTCTTTCTTTTTTTTTAGATCCTCTCAAAGTCCAACAAGGTTTTGTTTTTGACAATGGATTTAAATATACAGGGTGTCCTTTAAAATGTGTCCCAAAATTCTCAGGCAGATTCCTTAACCAAAAAATGGAAAAAAAGTTCCTATAGACCTATGTCCTAAAGTGCCCCCTAAGCGAGCAACAGCCTCTCGAAATCATTTTTTTTATTTTGATTTTTTGAATTTTCTTAAAAATGGAAACAAATAAAAGAACCAAATTTTGGCTGTTAAATATGATCAATAATAGTGACCTTTTGACACCTTCAAAAATAAATTATTTCGTCAGGGGTGTACTTGGGAATTTTTTGAAAATTTTGATTATTCATAACTTTTTTGTGTTTTTGGTAATGACTTATCCATATTTTTTTTTACATTCTACATTGAAAACTACGTCAAAAAGAAATACTTGTTTGATCTCGATTGGAGCAGCCGTTTCCGAGAAAACATCATCCAAAGATATTCGTCCACTTTAGCTTAATTTTCAATTTTCCTAAATTACCTCGGTGAATCTCGTAAATAAAAATAACTTTTTTAGCTCTCTCTAAATAATTGTAGTTCAAATGTCGTGGTGGGACTATTTTTATTTAATAATAAGAAACGGTTTAAAAAAATATTTATTCTAAAAAAACAAATCAAAAAAAATTAAAGCAGATGCTAAATGTGGCGACCATTGGTTTCCACACACAAGCGCAACCGTCGCATCATAGACTGTCTTACACGAAAAAATACTTCAGGATTATTCCTAAGAACTTCGCAATGATGAAAAACTCGTTCTTCCAATTCTTCAACTGTTTCAACAGGACTGGAATAAACCAATGATTTTAAATAACCCCAAACAAAAAAATCCATTGGATTTAGATCTGGTGAACGAGGTGGCCAGTTAACAGGACAACCTCTGCCAATTACTCTACCCTCAAATCTTTCGTTAAGGTGCTGTCTAGCTTCAAGGCTGTAATGTGGTGGAGCTCCATCATGCATAAACCACATGTTATGTCTGATTTGAATCGGAATATTATCAAGAAGCTCATGTAAGTTATTTTCCAAAAAAAGCCTGTATGCTGCTCCATTTAACCTATTCGGCAAAACAAATGGTCCAATAAGGTAATTATCAATAACTCCAGCCCAGACGTTTATTGAAAATTTATCCTGGTGGTGACGTTCAACAACCGCGTGAGGGTTATCTTCAGCCCATTCATGCATATTTCGAAAATTTATTATACCATCTCTAGTGAAACCAGCTTCATCGGTAAATAGCACTTTATTAAGAAACATTGCATCTTGATTACATCTTCCAAGAAACCATTCAGAAAAGATAACTCGCGGCTCATAATCAGTAGCTTTAAGTGCCTGAACTTTTTGAATGTGGTAAGGGTACAATTGTTGTTCACGCAAAACTTTCCATACCGTGTTACGTCCGACTCCCACTTCCGAAATTAAATGAGAGAATCTGTGTAGTGAATAGTTAAGAAAGAGAATCCATTGATTTGGGAAATCAGATTTTTTCTGCATAACGCAACTCTTTTCGATACGAAAAGTCGTGAAATGTAAGAGAAGCAATAACAAGTAAAAAAACTAGTTTTATACGATAAGGTACGGGGTAGCTAAAATAATAAATAAGTAATTACTTACCATTTGCTATTTTTCTGGTACTTGTCGATGGGGTTTCAGCTACCCTATCCAAAATTGCTTCTTCCAAAGCAGGAGTTCTCACATAATTTTGTCTTCCACTGTTACTAGAGTTTTTCTTAAATGTACCAGTTTCCCGAAGTCTATCGTCAATTCTAGAAAACGTCTTAGCGCATGGAAGATGCCTATTTGGAAAGCGCTCCTGATAAAGTCTGCGAGCTTCATTGGCATTTCCAGAAGCGAGTCCAAAACATAAGTGCATGTCCGTCATTTCGCCGAATGTGTAATCATTATTGTAGTTATTGTGAGCCATTTTAAACAAAATAATAACAATACAACGAATCGCACCAGAACACTTTTAGAAATAATGTTTAACTGAAGAAACATTTTTATCAGTGAGCGAAAAAAATTATCCATGAAACACAAAAACGCCAAAAAAATACATATTTTTACTTTTTTATTCTAAACAGCTAAATACAAACCTTATGGTCTTCATAATAAATAAATGGGAACTAAATTTTTAAATTTTATTTAGAGAGCTAAAAATAGTATACAGGGTGATTGATTAGTGTGAGGAAGCTCTGTAGATCTGTTATAATAAAAGTAGGCAGCTTTAAGCTTCACATTTTAAAATTATTTACGATGTGACAGGGTGTTTCATAAGGCCGTGCCAAATCAAAGTTATGTTTTTTAAATGGAACACCCTGTATATTTTTATATTTTTAGAATCTGCTCGATAATCTGATTTCAATGATATATCACACTTGTTATCTAATATGAATAGTAAAGGATCTACAGCTACTCAAAAATCACATATTTTCAAATTCAGGTGGCTGTTGTAGCCAAACAGTTGGAAATCGAGGAAAACGGCTTACAGTCCCTATCCTAACTTTTTCAGGTCTATTCAGTGACATAAAATACATATTATTTGATACAGGGTGATCAAAAATCCAAAATCACATCCGATTTTTGATCACCCTGTATCAACTAATATTTTTTGCCACTGAATAGACCTTCAAAAGTAAGGATAGGGACATGTAAGCCGTGTTCCTCGATTTCCAACTTTTTGGCTACAACAGCCAAAATTGAAAATTAACCTAAACTGCACGAATATCTTTGGATGATGTTTTCTCGGAAACGGCTGCTCCAATCGAGATCAAACAAGTATTCCTTTTTGACGTAGTTTTCAATGTAGAATGTAAAAAAAATATGGATAAGTCATTACCAAAAACACAAAAAAGTTATGAATAATCAAAATTTTCAAAAAATTCCCAAGTACACCCCTGACAAAATAATTTCTTTTTGAAGGTGTCAAAAGGTCACTATTATTGATCATATTTAACAGCCAAAATTTGGTTCTTTTATTTGTTTCCATTTTTAAGAAAATTCAAAAAATCAAAATAAAAAAAACGATTTCGAGAGGCTGTTGCTCGCTTAGGGGGCACTTTAGGATATAGGTCTATAGGAACTTTTTTTTCATTTTTTGGTTAAGGAATCTGCCTGAGAATTTTGGGACACATTTTAAAGGACACCCTGTATAGAAAGGTTAGTTTATTTAATTATGATAGGCTATTATAAAATTTTAAGCTTATTTTTCACAAATTTTTAATAAGGAAAGTATAGGAATCATGATTTTTTTCGACCTCGAGTTTTCGACGGATTTTTACGATGTGTGTGTGTGGTGTGTGTGTGTGTGTGTGTGTGTGTGTGTGTGTCTCTATGTGTCTGTATGTCGCATAACTCATGAACCGATACACAGAAAAACACCAAATTTTAAACTTAGGCTTTATTCCAGCGTCTAATGAACTCATTAGATTTTGGATAGGATCGGAAGATCTGGGGGGTACTTTATAGTGGGTCGTTTTTATATTTTATGGAATATATCTGTTAGTTACATTTGGAGATGAAAGTTCTTTAAATAAAAATTACTTCTAATATTATTATTCTCCATAATTTCTCTAAAATGGACCGTAATGGGAAAAATTTGAGGTAAAGTGTAAAATTTAACTTTTTCAATATTTTTGTTGGCAATGATATAAATATATAAATATAAAAAAATGTTTAATAGAAAAGTCATGTGTTGGACACATCAGATTCAAAATAATATCTAAAAAATATACCGCGATCTACCCGTTATCGTATACAGTCAACGCTACTGATCGATATTAGAGACGACGATGCATTTTGATACCTTGATGTATAAAGTTCTGCTGCATTTTATTGCTTGTTAAAAACTAAATGAGAAAATCTAAGTCCAAGACAAATGGCGAAGTACTACAAGTTGAATCAGACGGGTAGCTCAGATGTCAGATGTTAAATGTTATACGTATCGTACATCACTGATTTTATTAAAAAAGACTAAAATGCCTTGTCTCATATTTAAATATAATTATTTACCTATGAGACAAATGATATATAAAAACTCTGTTAAACATTCGCAAAATGTGTTTACTGTCCACAATAAACGTCTTGAAAAATGAAATGACTCTTTACCGTATAATTTTCCACGTGTTTTTAATAGTAGTTGCACATTTTTTAGAATAACTTCCATAGACGCTGGTAGTAATCCTATAGAAATCCTCACAAGGTATTAATCCATTAAATTGCCAAATGGGAGCCGAACTAGCAATCGCTCCAAAAACTGAAGCCGGGTATTTCATTCTAATATAAGCGGCAAGCATTCCCCCATAAGATCCGCCGAAAGCTATGACTGGAAGTTTCTTCATATTCTTTTGGTTTTCATAAACATCTTGAAGATGGTCTATTATAAGGACGAAGTCTGCCAAAGCTTGTTGAGACGTTAAGTAACCGAGGTTTGTTGGTGAGACGTAAGATTGGTTACCAAAGGGCAAAGAAGTTCCATAGTATCTGTTGAAAACATAACATATTTTTAACGGTAAATTATTTTTAAAATGAATTATATTTTATATTCAAAACAAGTAAAACAATTTGTTAAAAAAAATTAGTTGATTAAATTTTAATTGAAAGCCATATTCTGATAGGCCTCCTGGTCAAACCGTGTTTCTCTATCAATAGTTATGTATAGAAATTGTATTTTGATTTAAAATCAGATGGTACAGAAATGGGCGGATCTCGTACTATTTATACTTGATATACATAATTATTTTTTAATTAAAAAAAAAATGTTTAAAATGTTCTGCTTATTTATAATATTATAATTTTAATTTTTAAAAATATTAGTTCATTATTTTTTACACTAACTTGTCTTATACTTATGCAACTATAAAATTGAATTACCTGTGTTCGGCAAAAACTAATGCAGCTTCAAAAGATTTTGCAATATCAAACATGAAGCCCGTATTTTGGGCAAAATTGTTAATATCTCCTTCGTTTCCAGTATAAAAGAATATTGGTCCGCCGTGCCCATGATAGCTATCATTTACTAGGTATCTTAACTTAAATGTTGCGTTTGTTGTGTAGCTGAAAAAGAAAAAGTACATTGGTGTATTACACTAAATGTATATCCCATAACCTTGACAATAGATGAAAATAGTTATTATCTCAGTGAGGATGGTTCTGAAAGGCCTATATCTTTTGCGACTAGCACGGGCACGGTGGTGTAGCGGTCTATCGCGCTTATATTCATTTATAGGCAAGTTTATGAGTCTGAGACTGCTGGGTTTCGAATCCCAGACCAGACCATGTGGATTTTTAATTAAATTGCATGGTTCGGTTTAGGATTTGATGTGTGGCGTATTAATAGAAATTCAATTTCTGTTGATATGACATGCAGATTAAAAAAATTCGCCATACATTACCGTCTCGATGATGGTGGGTGAGGTTTTCCGGGTTTTTCTCACCTGTAAGTCAAATGGCACCATCAATCATCTTTAAGTCGCCCCGGAGCGCCACGGCAAATAATAATAATAGCCGTCCCTTTCCCCGGACAAGCTCAGCTTTTGGGGTTAAAATTCACTCGTAAGGGGGTGAATTAGGGAGAGTATTATTAACTGTTAATTCGTTTGAAGTAGTTTATTCTCAGATAAAGAAAAAGAAGGAGCAATAATTATTTTCGCTCTTTTTAATTTAATCAATTTTCATATGGCGACGTTGTCAACTGCATTAAATCTGTAGCCGGTATCTAATCAACTTAGGAGGATACACAATGGGCCTAGCGAGGCCTAAGTGCCGTGGGTTATCCCTCCCTCCTCGTTACAGATACAGATATGATAGATACGATTCTAAAAAGGCAAATAGATTTAAAAAATAGGCTTTAATAATTTTAACCAAATTCTAATTATGAATTTTAATATATTAGATCAAAAGAAATAGAGTCTCAAGACTTCCATTAAATTAACTACTTAAGAAGCCGAAATCCGTTTTTAAAAACAAATTTTTATTAAATTGTTAAGTTACAAAAAATATATTATGTGCAGTATATGACTTAACTATTGAAATGCTAGATAATGAATGCCGCGGGCTTCCATGCACTTCGCCCAGGGACCTCCGGCTAAGCAAAGGATGGCAGTTTGCGCTGAAATTCTTGCAAGGTTATCAGTAGGGCTGATATGACAATTAGGATAAAATTCAAATATAAAAAATTATGATTACCTACATTTTTATATTGAATCATAATTTCCTATAGATTTTAATTTAATTCAAATTGAAACAGTTTATTTTATCCAAGTTGAAACAATTTATTTTAAAGGAATTTCCAAAAAAAAAAGAAAAACAAAGAATTTGGAGTTAAAAACATTTTGGAATTTCAAAAGGAATTCACATAATAGCTATTTTAGGACAATCATGTTATCCATGTTATAAGAAACAAGATATTAGAAATTTTCTCAACGAACATTCCTAGTGGGGTCCAAAATATAAAATAACAATATTTGGCTTTCGTTATAGCCAATTGTCCGTACCTAATAATATTCTTTTTTTAATTTAATTTGGCCATCTGTATTGGCTATTTATTTTTTCTTGAATTCACATTTGTGATGTCAATTTGGAACAAGAACATATACATTAAATTTCAGTTATTTCATTATTATTAATAATGCATTCTGGACTTGCTCCCAAGTATGAATGTTTTTCATAAATAAATAATTCACATTCTTGTACCGTTTTTCCATATTTATTTTTAAATTCTTCTACCGCAATAGATTCATAATCTTATCCCCATTTTGTAGCGACTGATCCGTAAAAAGATGAAAATAATATGTTATTTTGCGTAATTTGCAAACCGTTCCAAAATTTGAAGCTATGAGCATATTACTACGATGTTCTTTCCACAGTCATTACTGGCCTGGCCTCTTTAGATACTTCAATTTTACAAGTATCATCTATTCATTTTGGGTAACTATCCAAAAATTGAGGGCCCCTGGCGTTTCTACTACATCTACGTTTGTTAATTTGAGTAACCAATCTTTGTGTTTGAATCCCAGGAACACTTTTTGACAGCTTTTTTATTAAAAGAAATGACTGCAGCTGTACACCTAACATTATATCCTCCTGTTACTGCAAAATTAATTCTTTCTTCTCCAACAAATTTGGCTACGGTAGAATTATATATATCTGCAGCATTATTAGTCATGTTTACTAATAAACTGTAGATGTTTTGAACTTGCAGATACAATGTCATCCATTAAGTCCGCATTCTTCCATTTCTGTCAAAAAATCTCTGTCGTTTTGTTCTCTTTTACAAAAATATTGTGCACAGTTTGAATGATTTCCAAATGTGTGGTAAGGAGAGTTTTTAATGTCTGCAGTTAATTGCTTCACGTTGTCAACAATATCACTTGTATTTTTTCTGTAGTAATTTACAGCCGATTTAATTCCCACTCGTAACTTGAAAATCCTATCACTCAAAATTTTTTTAGTCCTAGACTTACTATTTTGTTTTTTGAACTGTATTTTTTTTTTTTCACAAGATGTATATATTTCTGTAGGATTTGAATTATGTTTTTATTAGGTTTTGGTTAATACAGAAAGTATGTAATATTTGCGTACTATGTACCTATGTTACATTTGTTACTCAACCAGTTTGTAAATAATGAGCATATCACAAAACACTCTATTATACTTATTGTAGGATATATATCAATATTAAGTTTTTAAGAATAAACAACTTTGCTTTAAATCGCATTTTTCTTAATATATTTGTGATCTAATTAAAGTGTTAACAGAAGCTTTGAAATAAATAATAAATTATTTATATTAATGGAGCTTGTTTTTTTACCAGAAAAAATAAATAAATATATTTTTTCTTAGATAATTTTTGAAACTTTAATTATATTTAAAATTCATGATTTGAACTATTATATAATAGTTATTTTTGATAGGCATTAGGTTAAATAATTTTTTGTTACTCTTTAGAAAAAAAGAATCATAAAAAAGCATCATAAAAACGCATCTGTACGATGTTTAGGACATAAATTATTTTACAACAGAGAAGAAATCAATTCACAGATACAGTATTATAAGTTACCTGAAATGATCGATGGGAACATCGATATACTTTGTTTCTAATAAATATCCATCGGATGCAACGATTGCGAAATAATAATTGAATAAAAGGAGCCCGACGATGTTATTCATTGTTGAAAAGAGAAACGTTTAAATTGGACTAAATTATGTTTAATGGATCTATGACCTTTCTAATCAAATGATGTGTTTATATCTAAGTAGTCTGTTTAAATATTCTGCTATATTGCTATAACAGTCAGTAGATAAAGATTTTATTTTTATTTTATTATTAATTGGTATATAATATACAGTGGAACAAATTTATTGAAAAATTGGCATTTTTTAATATCTCGTATTTTTTTCATTTCAATACCCGAAACTGTCAATCCAAAAGGTATTCATGTGCGCATATTACTACGAACTCAGTATATTATATAACCCAGTATAAGTATTCTAGCAGTAATGACACTCCCTGGGCGGGGTAAAAACGTAATTTTTTGTTGCAACATGCTTTAAACAGCGACATATATCTAATTTACTTCGACGAGGCATCATATAATTAAGATCGAACTTCACTTCAGGTAAGTTCGTTTGATCTTATAATTGTTACGTATTATATCTCGTTTTATTTGAGGACATTGGAATAAATAGAGTACTAGAAGGTGTGTTATAAAAAGAAAATACATTGCATTCGACTGATTTATGTTTAATATGTTTTCGTGAAGTATTTCCAACATGCCAGTTACTTAAATGGTTGTACATTGTAAGCGTATAAGTGATAGAAACTGATGCTTTGTGCTTCCTTGTTTTTTTTTGTTGGTGTTCCAGTTCAGCATTACCAGCCAGCAGTAGTAGCAAAAACATTAACATTGTCTACATTTAACCCACTTACATGTATCATTATCAGCTAAAAGCAGAACACATTAGTTATCTACAAGGAAAATTGCTCATGTATAAATTCAACAATTACCTAAATCAAAATATATTATTTTTAGAGGACTTATATCAACTATTATGTTAATTAAAAATATTATAATATAAATATTTATAACAAAATAATAGAGTTGTTTATTAAAAAATATATTGTTTATTGATAATCAGTATCAAAAATATGTGTACCTATAGAAATTTGTTGAAATATGTTCTATTGCTCCTAATCTTTTTAATAGGTTCTTATTGTAGTTGTAATTAAATATCAACACTTTTTATCCGTCTATTTAACACTTACAAACATATGCATATTTTAAGTTTTAAGGATCCGTATCCTCTTAATTTTTTACATTAAACACAAGACCTTATAAGATGTCATATAAAACTATGCTAGATAGATTAAAACTCTTTTACAAAGAAGAAAGCAACAAGCTGTGATATATTTTGTACTCTATTTTAAATAATGTTAAGTACAAAGATTGTGGCAGATGTGGCAAAGATTAATCTAAGAATCCCAAGTAATAAAAAATGATTTAGTTTAGATCCAAGTAGTATATCTCCTTTTAACAAGATGATGGCTATTACCAATGAGTTTCTTAGCGAAGTCCAAACATATATCTTTAATGTTAGCCTAAGAAAGTTGAGGACTGTACTAAATTAAGTTCAATAGATATAAAGGTTTGTTTTGTTTTTGTTTTTAAATTTCTTGTTACTTAACTCTACATGTAAATACTATTAATTTTTTATAGTATCCAATAAATACATTTTACTTTATGGCTGCTTTTAAACAATTCTGTGTGTAGTCACTTAGTTTAAAGTTAATTTTAAATTATTAGTGAGTTTAATATGTCAAATAGTGATATGTATTGTGTCAATGAATTTGATGTGTGTATTAAATGGCCAATATACATAACTTTGATATTTTTATTACAAGTGTAAAAACTACGAAAACCATATACATAGTTCCCAGTTTTAAATAAATTCAAATTAATTCATAATATAAAGTAACGATTTTTGTCTGCCATACTTGAACTCATTCACAAAAACAAGTCACTGAGTATCTATTTATAAAAAAAAACTACACTAAATATGTCTCCTTTATAAATTTTTATATTTAAAACTACATACTTTTCTTTAGATTTTGCAGTATCTAAATAACCTAAATAACGTATAGCAGAAAATTCTACAATATACTAGAAAAGTTTTAGATTAGAGTAATTCTAAAGAAATAAAGCAAGAACTCTATTTTGTTACTCTAACCTTGTTATCTGTCATATATATTTCCCTTGACACACTAACGTTATATTTTGAACTAAAAGTAATTAAACTTTTCACTAAAAAATATTTCAATTTCGAAATTCAAACATTTTTGACATACATACATAAAAAAATCTGATGTGTCCAACACATGACTTTCCTATCTAGTTATTATAGGCTTTTTCCGGTTATTTTGTACAACCTATTGCAGCACCTCTATAAATGTTTAAAGGATAAACTAAATATATACATTTTCCACATACATCTAACTCGAAACATTTTTCTATAGATATTTTTTGAACACGAAAATACTGAGAAATTTAAATTTAGCACTTTTCCTTCAATTTTTCCAATACGGTCCATTTTAGAAAAATCATATAAAAGACAAAAATTATAGAGATCGATATTACAAACAACTTTTATAAAAAAATATTTTTTTTACATTTTCTCAAATTTCTCGAATATGGACCATTTTAGGAAAATTTTGTATAAAATAAAAATTATAGATAATAATATTGTAAGTAACTTTTATTTGAAGAATTTTCTTCTCCAAACGTAAATAACGAATATATTTCATAAAATATAAAAATAACCACCTATAAAGTACCCCCCCCCCCCAGATGTTCCGACTCTGCCCAAAATCTAATCAGCTCATTGGATGCTGTAACGAAGCTTAAGTTTAAAATTTGGTGTTTTTCTGTGTATCGGTTCATGAGTTATGCGACAGACACACACACACACACGCACGCACGCACGCACGCACGCACGCACGCACGCACGCACGCACGCACGCACGCACGCACGCACGCACGCACGCACGCACGCACGCACGCACGCACGCACGCACGCACGCACGCACGCACGCACGCACGCACGCACGCACGCACGCACGCACGCACGCACGCACGCACGCACGCACGCACGCACGCACGCACGCACGCACGCACGCACGCACGCACACACACACACACACACACACGCGAAAATAGTCAAAACGGATTCAGGGGACCTCAAAACGTAAAAATCCGTCGAAAAAATCATGATTCCTATACTTTCCTTATATCTGTATACAGATAGGAAAGTAAAAAATCACTTATCACAAGATAACACTTAACTAGCGGCAAATAAACCAAAACCAATTAGTAGCATAAAGTGTACCTATAGTAAGAAAATAATGTACACTAACCACAAGTAAATAGTTCACTAACTGTAGGTCGTCTAAAAACTAATTGAATTGTTTACTAACCACAGGTGACTAATTTCAGAAATCTTGTTTTACTTACAAAAATACAAAAAAATTTGGTTCATACTTTTGCCAGTCACTGTAGTAAATTTTTCGCTTATCAAGTATGTTTGGTAAGTTATATAGAAGACCAATTATCATGCCATAATTACATACAATTTTAATTATTAGCTATTATTAAAAACAAAACAAAATGTTCAACAAGCCAGGCTAATTTTAAGATTTACTACTTGCCTAGGCAATTTCCCACCAAGTTTATACATTTGTTCACCCAGTAAAATTGATTTGCCCACTAGTAAAATACATAGATAAGAATCCTTTTTATGTGAGTACATAAAAAACTGTAAACTAACATATCCTACTCGTAAATTAAACTTAATAATTTTTAAAAACATTACCGACAAAAAACAATAAATTAATAACTACGTAGATAATAAAAGATAGAATCACTTTTCATTACTATGTAGGGTTTATAGGCGTTTTTTTCTAGTCAAATTAGGTATTCTAATTTCATCATTACATATATTGCTTATGTTTATTTTTGTTCTATATAAAATTTTCCTAAAATGATCCGTATTCGAGAAATTTGACAAAATGTAAAAAAAATAATTTTTTATAAAAGTTGTTCAAATAAAAGTTGTTTGTAATATAATTCTCTATAATTTTTATTCTATGCATAATTTCTCTAAAATGGACCGTATTCAAGATATTTGAGAAAATGTGTAAATTTCGAATTTTGAAGAAAACTCAAAAACGGATAAAGGCAAAAACATTAAATTTCAAACTTAAGTTTTATTTCGGCCTGAGGTGAAATGATTAGATTTTGGACGAAGGCGGAACATCTGGAGGGGGGGGGGGGGTACTTTATGGGAGGTCATATTATAAAAAAATGTGTCGAGTTAGATGTGGAAAATGTATATATTTAGTTTATCCTCTAAACATTTATAGAGGTGCTGCAATAGGTTGTACAAAATAACCGGAAAAAGCCTATAATAACTAGATAGGAAAGTCATGTGTTGGACACATCAGATTTTTACTTTCCTATCTGTATATAGATAAGGAAAGTATAGGAATCATGATTTTTTTCGACCTCCAGTTTTCGACAGATTTTTACGTTTTGGGGTCCCCTAAATCCGTTTTGACTTTTTTTTGATTTTTACAATGTGTGTGTGTGTGTGTGTGTGTGTGTGTGTGTGTGTGTGTGTATGTGTGTGTGTGTGTGTGTGTGTGTGTGTGTGTGTGTGTGTGTGTGTGTGTGTGTGTGTGTGTGTGTGTGTGTGTGTGTGTGTGTGTGTGTGTGTGTGTGTGTGTGTGTGTGTGTGTGTGTGTGTGTGTGTGTGTGTGTGTGTGTGTGTGTGTGTGTGTGTGTGTGTGTGTGTGTGTGTGTGTGTGTGTGTGTGTGTGTGTGTGTGTGTGTGTGTGTGTGTGTGTGTGTGTGTGTGTGTGTGTGTGTGTGTGTGTGTGTGTGTGTGTGTGTGTGTGTGTGTGTGTGTGTGTGTGTGTGTGTGTGTGTGTGTGTGTGTGTGTGTGTGTGTGTGTGTGTGTGTGTGTGTGTGTGTGTGTGTGTGTGTGTGTGTGTGTGTGTGTGTGTGTGTGTGTGTGTGTGTGTGTGTGTGTGTGTGTGTGTGTGTGTGTGTGTGTGTGTGTGTGTGTGTGTGTGTGTGTGTGTGTGTGTGTGTGTGTGTGTGTGTGTGTGTGTGTGTGTGTGTGTGTGTGTGTGTGTGTGTGTGTGTGTGTGTGTGTGTGTGTGTGTGTGTGTGTGTGTGTGTGTGTGTGTGTGTGTGTGTGT